GCCAGACCCAAATTTCCATCGTATGCGACGCTGAGTCTGTGTGCTCCTCAGTCACACCTTACTGTGAAACCCCTGTGTGGGGGACCTGTGTGCTTGAATCACAAGGTTCCACTCATGCACATATATACTCAGTAGCCCTGTGCTGTCTGCATTCACACAGCTCATTGAGTCTGAAAACACTGGATCATGCAATCAGTGACAGAATGGTCTTTTTCCTGCCTTATATTGTCTGCATTTGAAATTATCTATTGTTTATATCAAAGTCATCTGTGGGTTTTCAGCATGGAAGACCAATGAGTTATACACAGGGGCTGTGTCTAGACTGGCAAGCTTTTCCGCAAGAACACTGACGATCTCATGTAAGAAATCAGTGCTTCTTGAGGAACTACTATGCTGCTCCTGTTCGGGCAAAAATCCTTTTGTGCAAAAGGGCCAGTGTAGACAGCTCAGATTTGTTTTGCGCAAAAAAGCCCCAATCGCAAAAATGGCAATCGGGGCTTTTTTGCGAAAAAGCGCATCTAGATTGGCCACAGATGTTTTTGCGCAAAAATGCTTTTGCGGAAAAGCGTCCGTGACAATCTAGATGCTCTTTTCCGCAAATGCTTTTAACGGAAAACATTTCCATTAAAAGCATTTGCGGAAAATCAAGCCAGTCTAGACGCAGCCAGGATGAATTGTCTTTATGTTTAAACACGGTTTATGCTTAATAGTAAGTGAGAAGGTTAAATACATTTGAATGCTGGCCAGCTCTAGAGAGAGAGAGAGACTTAATTCATTGCTGGCTCTTATCCTTGATCAGGTGGATGAGAAGTAACCAGGCCCATTGACAGCACAGGGCAAAGCGGGTAGTTGCCCTGGGGCCCAACAATTCAAAGGGACCTTCGTCTCCTGGCTTCCACTGCTGCTACTGAGGTGGCAGCTGGAGTTCTGGCTCCTTTAAATCACCACCAGAGTACCACGCCATATGCTCTGTGCAGCTGTGAGGGCTGGGGGGACACACTGAATTCTGGGCAGCGCTGAAGGCTGGTGGGGGAGGGGCACACTGAACTCTGGGCCGCACTGAGGGTAGGCTGCCCCAGCCCAGCCTCTTCTGTCCAGGGCCTGCCCCTTCCGGGAGCGTGGAGCCACCCCCCGACACAAACACCATGCCCAGGCTGTCGGCTCCCCTGAAAGTCACATAGGACTGATGTTTTTATAGCATGATAAAAATCAGGTTCCCATAGTCTCCCAAGAGCTAAAAAGATGATGCTGCACAACTAGAAATAGAGCCAACGAGCTAATCCATGGCTGACATGTGGAGCTAAAGACAATATCTTGAAATCAGCTCAGATGTGGGGTGTATTGGCATTTAGCCCCAGCATACTGCACTGCTGTGGTATTTCAGTTCCAAGAAATCAAGTGTGTTTGAATCCCTTTTCTGGGGGCAGTGGCGCATATGGACTCCTGAGGAAAATGTAACAAACCAGAAAGGAAAATACTCACCCTGGCAGGGCTTTATGAGTTTTAATTGGTGTTGATTGGAGCCATTACTTAGCACATTATATTTCAAAGCACATTCCTCACACAGAGAGCAATGTGAAATTATTAAATGATTATGCTGGTTTAAGCAGCACAGAGGGAGGACAAGAGTTGATGCAATAAATTCCATGTGGCCTTCAGGAAACATCCAAAGATTAATAAACACAAAGCCAAAATTTATGACAGAGCCAGCAAAGTCTTAGGGCCTGGTCCTCAACCCAGGCAAAGCTCCCATTGAGTATGCTGGGAGTTTTACTCAGAATATGAGTTTTACTCAGAAGGACTTCAGAATCAGACCCTTAGTTAAACCAGAAGAGAATTCTTTCACAGTATAGTGATCCATGCGGGAAAACCACTGGTAAACATAATTTTGAAAAACAAAGGAAAAAGTTTACTCTCCACGGCTGTGTCTACACTGGGCCACTTATTCCGGAAAAGCAGCTGATTTCTTACAGTAAATCGTCACTGCTTTTCCGGAAATTCAAGGGGCCAGTGTAGACAGCCCAGTAGTCTTTTCCGCAAAAAAGACCTGATCGCAAAAATGACGATTGGGGCTTTTTTTCCGGAAAAGCACGTCTACATTGGCCACGGACGCTTTTCCGGGAAAAGGGCTTTTCCAGAAAAGCATCCTGCCAATGTAGACGCTCTTTTTCCGGAAATACTTATAACAGAAAACTGTTCCGTTTTAAGCATTTCCGGAAAAAGGTGCCAGTGTAGACACAGCCCACATGTGTATTGAGTTAGGATGTAAAAACAGCCTAGTTTTTTGTTTGGTTATTTTATTCATCTATTCTTTAAATACAAATATTATAAGTAAATGTAAATGGGTCCAATGGAGCTATACTGACTTTATACCAATTGAATATCTGACATGGATGCGTGCCAGCCAACCTTTTTAGATGTTACTAACAAGTTTGAGTGACTCTACTTTTGATTTCCAGCTTCAGACATCTGAAATGTCCTGATTTTCAGAAATGGCTAAGCACCTGCCCTCTGAAGATGAAACACCAGTAACGGTGTTTCAAATAGACAACCAAAAAATGGAGACTTCCCAAATCACTAGACATGTTTGAAAATCTGTTGTCTGTGTAAGATGCAGCTTTCGGGCTCAACCTTGCCCATGCTGAATTAGATAGCAACACTTCTGTTGACTTTAGCAGATGTGAGATCAGGACATCATAATTCAAAACAAAGGGGCAGTATTGTCTTGCTTTTCACTGTTAGCAGACATGAAATTTACCTTGAGCATTTCACTTCTACAACAACAACCCTTCCTGACCCAGTTTGTGCAAAATCATTTTTATGCTGAAAGGAAAAAACAAAGCTTGAAGACCCGGAGTCGTTGTTGCTTTATTTGCTAGATTAGGTGCTTTTATCTTGTATCTTAAGCAGTTTAGAAATAATGAAATAAATATTTTTTCATTTAAATATACAACAGCAGTAAATGAAGTCAATGCTGGTAATGCCTTTTGACGTGCAATTTATTATCATGCTTTAGTAGACTCCACAGATCTCAAAGGGCATAGCTCCTTTTTAGCACCTCCAGGGAAAACAAATCGTATTACCAAGGGATGCTTAAAACTAGTATTTTTATATGTCTTAGAGAGGAATTAATATTCTTCTTGCTCACTCTTATTTCTGTCCTAGTTATAAATGGTTTGGGGGTAGAGGGAGCCCTCGGGGAGATTGTATGTTTCCCTTGCTGATTATTCTCTCTGTGTGTATTTCATATATTACAGGAAGCGACCATCAGCTGCTGGGTCCAGTTCAGTGATGGATCTGTCATGCCCCTGGATATTTACGATGTCAAAGATTTCTCCTTGATGGCTACCTCTCTAGATGAAAAAGTGATCTCCGTTCATCACGACCCTAAATTCAAGTGGCCCATGCTCACTGCTGAGACTGAAGGCCAGGGGCCACTGGTGAAGGTAGAGATGGTGATCAGTGAACCATGCCAGAAATCCAAAAGGAAGAGTGTCCTGGCTGTTGGGAGTGGGAACATTAAAGTCAAGTTCGGACAGAGTGACACCAATCTTAATGTCAGTGACAGCAAGCAAAGTGGAACTGGTGTCCACCTGGAAAACCATGCAAGTGACCGGCGTCAGAAAACCACTTTTCAAGACAGAGTTAGGCCAGACGGGCAGTATTACAGCAGCTCCTCAGTGGGCCGTATGGAAGGCAGAGGAACTACCACGGACAGGTCAATTTTAAGTAAAAAAGAGGACAGAGAAAGCCTTCTGGATGATGACAGCTATATGCAGAACATTCCAATAGACTTCACCAGTTTCCCTGCACAGGTAGACTTGCCACGAAGCAATGGGGACTTGGAAGAAAATGACCTTGTGCAGACGCCCCGAGGGCTCAGTGATCTGGAGATAGGAATGTATGCTTTGTTGGGAGTCTTCTGCCTGGCCATCCTTGTCTTCCTTATCAACTGTGTCACTTTTGCTTTGAAGTACAGGCACAAGCAGGTCCCTTTTGAAGAGCAGGAAGGCATGAACCACTCTCATGACTGGGTTGGGTTGAGTAACCGGGCAGAGCTTCTGGAGAATCACATTAATTTCTCCTCCCCTCAAGATGAGTGCATCACTGCCATTGACCGAGGGGTAGACTTTGAGGAAAGCAAGTATCTTCTCAACACAAATGCCCAAAAGAATATTAATGATCAGGTCCTCAGGTCACAAGAGTCCACATTCACTGAAGGGAAAGAACAGAAAAGTGAACCAACTGCCTCTCCTACCTCCAAGCGGAAACGAGTCAAATTCACCACATTTACCACCATCTCATCTGACGATGGATGTCCTACTGTCAACTCCATTCTGATGAGTAGTGAGGATGATATTAAATGGGTGTGCCAGGATATGGACCTTGGGGAGTGCAAAGAGCTAAAAAACTATATGGAGAGGTTACATGAGAATGTGTAATGAGACGCTAAGGACCATTTTGGTTTTTGGTTTTCACACACCTTTCTGCCTTTAATTTTGGGTATTGGGGCAAAAAATGCATTGGCAAATGAGAATCAAGAGGTGAATCATACCTCACTGGAGCCCCAGAAAGCCACCCAAAACCAGCTGAGACACAGAGATCCTGGCCATCTCATACAGTTCAAGTCTTCTATGTTCTTGGAGACTGGAGCAAAATGTATGTGAGGTTTCAGATGCATGGCAATATGGGAAAAAAAACTTAGCAAAATAATAAGATCTCATTCTCTGAGCTTTCCCAGGAAATCAATAAAAATAACAAACTCCAACACCGTTTGGATATTACAAAGCTCACACAGTTCTAATGTTCAATATCACAGGCTGTAGTTAAAAGTGAAAATCAGGCTTGGAATAAATGGATCAATGAAAGGAAGCTTGTCATTCAAGACACAAGCAGAGGATACCCAGCTGAGAACGTTAATTTAAAGCTGACAAACAACTGCTGTATGAGCAGCAGAGCAACCACAGTTGCAAAGTTATGAATTTCCAAAGAATAAAGCAGGGCAGGGGGAGTGACTGAGTTGTTTACAGACCCGCATGATCATCTTCCAAGCACTGAGAACGGTTACACATGTACAGTGATAACTGAAGCTTTCTTTTTAAGTAGATGCTGAGATAATAAACTTTGCTGGCCAATTTTCAGTATTTCTTAATTTGTAAAATAGAAGGTATAATCTATAATCAACATACTGCTCATATAAAGGAAGGTTTGCTTTGGAAAGGTTTGAGAAACCTTACGTCTTTTAAAGAAGCCCATTTTATCCAGTTTTCCTGTTTAAATTTGTATTCCCCATGCATTTTCCTGGAGCACTCTCATTTGATATGCTGGGGGCACTTATTAGCACTAATCTGGTTTGTAAGTTTGGTGACTTTTCCCTTCTCTCAGATCCAAATTTATTTATCCACAGTGCAATTTTGCCAAGCGCAGAAGCCATTGGACCTAAATGGGTACTTGCTTTACATGTTGTAATTTATTAAAGTTAGCTATTCTGTCTTGGGTAGGTATAACTCGTGCTGAACTCAGAAACCAGTGGTGACTGGCTCTTTGTTCTCCTTCTTCTTTTGAGGTTAGATTGCTCACTTCCACTTTGATCATGCATTTTCAGACCCACTGCTGGGCATATTTATATGGCAACATGAAGGCCAGGAAGGCGAAGGCTAAGCTTGGTAAATAACATTTGTTTCATCCAGCAGTATGATTGTATCTGCTCATTCCTTTTACATATATGTACAGTAGAATTCCAGTAATTGCCGTTTGAATCTGAAGTGCCCTCTTGCCCTAAAACTGAGAAATCATCTGTTTGATCCAGAGTTAATTTCCAGTGACCAGTGGCAAAGTGCCAAGAAATGAGGTTTGGTTTGGACTGCTTCTTTTTCCTAATTTTCCTTTGGTTTGTAAACTAAGCCCATGCCTTTAGTGGATTACAAAGTCTCTCACAGCCACCAAATCTAGGTTGTCCAATTTAATACTCTATTCTACCCAGAAACGCCTTGACTGAATCCCTCTGTATTTAGAATGTATTGTAGATTGTAAGAATGTACTATATATTTATAAACATACCAACGGCAAATAAAATTTGCATTTCGGTGGGCTTCATCTTTTTTCCTGTTCTCTCCCGTTGCCCTTGTTCACCTTTTAAAAGAGTACCAGCAATGCATACAACCGTCCTTGGTTTAAGGGAACACACAGATTTAAGGATCTCAGCACAATCCAGTCACAAACTCTTCTCTCTTGTGCTGTGGCACTTTGTGTTGGGGAAAAATAAAATAACAACACATTATGATGAAGTATGTTTTTCACCAAGTCACCCTTTCAGGATTTGGAACTCTTTGCAAATAACACCTGTGTATTTCTGCCTGGAAAGCTTTCTGTATGAGATGAGGATGGTGTTCAGTTTGGGGCAGCCAGAAAGAGAGCAATAGATATTGGCCCTTGTTTCTATTTATAAAAATTCCTTAGAGGACAACTTTAAAAGAATTACTTGGTGTATCTAGAGAGGAGGCAAACATACCAGGAGAATGTGAAGAATAATATTGGATGTAGCATAGGCCTAGCATGTCATGGAGAGTGTCTCTGTACAGGGGTCAGATTAATGAGGCCTCTTGTATATTGGCACGTGAGTAGATGGCCTCTGAGGGTTTAGTGTTCTCTCTATAAAGCCTTGTTTACATTAACCCCCACTGCTGATCTATTTGACGTAACTTCAGCTTATGCAAGTAGTGTAGCTGTAGTTGATGTACTTACTGCATCATTTTGTGTGCAGTAAGGGCAGGCAGGGGCTGATCTCCCATCAACACCGACTACTCTTTTCATCCTGATGGAGTACCAGCATTGACAAGAGAGTGCTTGGACACTGATTTATCGCATCTAAGCAGATGCAATAAATCGACAGCCAGTGGATCAATCATTGCAGCATCTATCCCCAGCATAATGGAGAGAAGCCTCTGAAAGATGTTTCAGTCCCTGGAATCAGAGCAGTGACTCCACATGGTAAAATTTCCATATGTTTTCTGACACTCCACAGAAGTTTCCTCACTCATGAGGAACCTAGGCTCAGAGGGTCAGGGCTAAATGAGTCAATTACAGGTGGTCCACAAGGCCCAAATATAGTAAGTCCTTCAGGGTACATCTACACTACAGCATTATTTTGAAATATCTTATTTCAAAATAGTTAATTCGAAATAAGTTATTTAGAAATAACGCGTCTACACACAAAATGCATTTTGAAATAGCATTTTGCTATTGCAAAATACCGCATCCACACTGAGTGGACACCGAGATTACAGGTGGTCCACAAGGCCCAAATATAGTAAGTCCTTCAGGGTACATCTACACTACAGCATTATTTTGAAATATCTTATTTCAAAATAGTTAATTCGAAATAAGTTATTTAGAAATAACGCGTCTACACACAAAATGCATTTTGAAATAGCATTTTGCTATTGCAAAATACCGCATCCACACTGAGTGGACACCGAGTCAGAGTTAAGGCCGGCCAGAACCAGGTCAGGGTTAGGGCATCAGGTAAGGAATGTCTTTGTGTGGCTGGTGGCCCAGGG